ATATAGCTCAATGGCTTCAGGGGGAATATAGTTCAATGACTTCAAGGAAAATATAGTCCAATTGCTTCAAGGAAAATATAGTCCAATGGCTTCAAGTAAAATAGAGCTCAATGTCTTCAGGGGGAAAATATAGATCAATGGCTTTAGGGGAAATATAGTTCTGTGACTCCGGGGGGAAATATAGATCAACGGCTTTGGGGGAAATATAGTTCTGTGACTCCGGGGGGAAATATAGATCAATGGCTTCAGGGGGAAATATAGTTCTGTGACTCCGGGGGAAAATATAGATCAATGGCTTTAGGGGAAATATAGTTCTGTGACTCCGGGGGGAAATATAGATCAATGGCTTCAGGGGAAAATATAGTTCTGTGACTCCGGGAGAAAATATAGATCAATGACTTCAGGGGAAAATATAGTTCTGTGACTCCGGGGGGAAATATAGATCAATGGCTTCAGGGGAAAATATAGGTCTGTGACTCAGGGGGGAAATATAGATCAATGGCTTCAGGGGAAAATATAGTTCTGTGACTCCGGGGGAAAATATAGATCAATGGCTTCAGGGGAAAATATAGTTCTGTGACTCCGGGGGAAAATATAGTTCTGTGACTCCGGGGGAAAATATAGATCAATGGCTTCAGAGGAAATATATAGCTCAATGGCTTCAAGGGAAAAGGGGAAACAGTGTTCAGATAAAAGACCATTCATGACAGATTTCATAAGAAACAATGTAATATACAATCGTGGAAAAGAAACATATTGTTGCCAACTTTCTAAGGCTTGTTGGTTTGGCCATATTGTCATACCAGACACATTATACGACATGATACAAGCAGCATTCTCCAACGGAGCATTTTTGGCATGCAATCGAGCGATGTCTGCGTCAGGAGCCAAACCCTCTTACGACGTTGTTAGATATTGTGTATGATGGCCAACACCTGCCTTGGAAATCTGTTTGATTAGATACAATTTCGCATCCACAGAGCCACAGGGACTTGGCTTGAATCTTATGTTTCTGTGACAAGAATTACATCTCCCGAGCCGGCGAAAACTTCACATATTATTTCTTCAGTTATGTGAAGGAGATCGGCTAAGTATTGACCAAAATATGACCCGATGAATTTAAAGGATAGTATGCTTGTTTTTTATAAATATACTGGTTATTAAATCATGAATTATGTTTTTAACACGAGAGGCAGTAAAAACAAGCCCAATATCACTATTCTAAAAAGTCCCAAAGTGTTGTAATTATCGCAATATCAGCGAAATTCGGCAATAAAGCCAAGACTTCAACAATTTTGTTTGAAACGGTCCCTCTGAATTGTAAAGGCGTTTGTTCAATATAGAATATGGATGAAACAATGGACATAGAACAATGGAGACTCATCCGAAGTTGTCAGTGCGTTTCTTTCAAATGGATATTGGAATTTAAGTAGTATTCTCCACATTACATTTGTGTAACTATAAGATAGGACACAACACCATGGAATACGATTTTATTTAGCTGTAATAACAGAAGTTGATCCCTGGATTGAGACTATCACCTACAGTACTGTACCGATAAAGTACAGTGTACCGTTTTATCGACAAAGTGTCATTATCATGAAAATTATCCAATTAAAAGAAGCGTTACATAACCGTTATTTTCGAATCGGAAATATGAAGAAATGGCTAGGTAGACATTTTAAGTCTCATCCGGATGAAACGTTTTCTCTTCATGAGATGCAGAAGTACACGTCCAAACTTTTATAGTCAATACTCGTCATGATTCGGAATGAGAGTCCACAAAATTAGTAGGTATGGACTCTCAACTTAGGCATATTTAGCAGTATAACAATATTGCACAATATGTAGAGACCCGAGAATAAGAAATGCGTGGTTCCATTCAATACCAAATGAACGTTTAATACCAAAATCATGAAAGAAAGATATTTTCTATTTTCTTTTGAAGCTGTACGTATCTTCATATAATCAATTATTTGTTGAGTGTCAGTGTGTCGTTATAATCTAAAAGCTCCTTCCCGTTTAGTAATGCTAGGTTTACTATTACCAAATCTATCTAGAATCACAGATCACAAGTTTGCGATCGTTAGATCTACAAGATCTGATGTCAGTTTATAACACTTTCCAAAGGGGCATGATATTAAGTATGGCAGATAAAATCAGGATTTAAATATCCAGCATCGATAGCTAACTGCACCTCTCATCTAAATTTTCATCATTTAAAGCCCCAATATACGTAACATCCACCAAACATTTAGTGTAGAATTACACATAATTATTGAGATATTCTCTAAGATGTAGTTAAAATTAAGTTATTCAAACGATAGTTACCATGACTTTGTGCATAAAGTATTGATATATGAGCAGTTGAAACTCGCTATTTGTAAACACACCTCCATTTTAAACACGCCGCCATCGAAATTACGATTGTTGCCGAACCACGTCGGAAAGTTCATAACCTGATCACTTATAGAGGAAGCACATGCAGATATGTCTACGATAAGTTTTTGTTTACAAACATTGTTTGCGAAGTCTTGTCGTAGACTTGAGGTATTCCTGTGATAAACATTCAGTTTTTGGGGAAATTCTTTTCTTAGCTGTGTCTGCCATGTTTACACATGCGGAATAAGCGCATTAAATTGAAAACAGTCAGTTTTATTTTCTTTAATTAAAGGAAAGTATTTGTTTTGTTACATATATTACGGGGCTTTAACTTATGTCAATTTCGACTTTTCAAAAATGGCCTTGCAGTCAAAGAAAAAAAAGGACGAAACAGCACTTGGACACAATTATATTTCCTATTTGATTATACTACATCTGCTTAATTTGTATCTATATGTGTTTTTCTTTGTCTTTTGCACAGTCCAATTTATATTGAATACTGGTAGTGACAATGTAAGTATTCGGTGCCCTTATAAATGTAAATTCGGTAGTGTCAATATAGCTACAACAGCTGCAGATTTCCCTTGCCACCTGTCTTAAAAGTTAGACCCCCAAAGGACCACAAACCAGGCTTAATTGTCCAGGGTTTTGTTTGGAGATAACAATATGAATTTCTTTCTCCTCAATTAAGACATTTTATTTGAAACAGATTTGTTAACCACAAGGTTCACTTAATTTGTAAATAAATTCCATGCTTAAACAGGGCGTAGATATTAAGTCACAAATTACTATGTAAGTTACTATCACATGCTCAAAACTTCAAAACTAACAAAGACGTTCATACTAAGGGACATAACTCTTCGGCGTCATGAATCGCAAGTTCACGACACAATGAGATATTGATCACAGTATCAGAGCAATTTGGCCCAAACTTCCGTCTTTGGGCGGAACAACAGGGAATGCCCCTGTTAGCATAATCAACCAGTCCCAGAATATCTTATCGAATCATAAAAAACAACCTTCCTTTCTTAAAAATGGTTTTAGGTAATTTGATGCAATTCATTAAAACCCGAATGTTACAAAGAAAAAGGCAGGGTCCTTTACAAGCACCAGGCCCAATTGAAAGTGGGCCAAGGTCATTCATTTGAACAAACTTTGTAGGGCTCCATGCCAGCATGCTATGGGCCAAATATTAGCCCCCAGGCCTTCTAGTATTTGAGAAGAAGTTATTTAAAGATTTTGACCTTTCCTCCCATTGAAATGCAACCAATCAAAATCAAAGTGCGTCCTTCAACTCTACAAAATAGGTTGACATAACAAAGATGGTATTTTTCATTGTACAACACGTTTGTTAGTCCTTTTTATCAAGGCAACTGATTAACACAACAAGAGTACCGCAAAGCGGAACAAAATACGCCCGTGAATACCCAAAATAGCAAAGGGGCATAACTCTTTTTTCAAATCGTCTAATCAAAACTCCATTCAGGAAAACACAATTTCATATCATGGTGATTAAGCCTACCAAGTTTCATATAGATCGGCTGAAAAATGTAGATCTCCGGACAAGATTTATATAGTGAAATAAACGAAGGGCCATAACTCTTGTTCAAATCACCAAATCAAAACCCCGTTCAGGAAAACACAACTTCATTTCATGGTGATTAAGCCTATCAAGTTTCATAAAGATCGGCTGAAAAATGTAGATCTCTGGACAAATAAAATTTTACGAAGGACGCCGGATGGACGGACAGCGCCATACCATAATACGTCCGTCTTTCGACGGGCGTATAAAAATTTGAAACTCACAGTGAAAAACCTCATCAAGATGGCAGCAGTAGGTGGAACACAGTCATGGACTGCGACATCTCTGCAAAATGCTTCAAAAGCAAAGGGTCCTTAAAACATTGTTGAATCGAACGGCTGTATACGAAGACAACTTTATATCACGGTGATTACGTCTACGAAGTTTGAAGGAAATCAAAACCTGAACGAAGGCCTCCGGACAAGATTAATACTGCCATTCAAGAGAATGAAATATGGTGATTAGCCTACCAAATTTGGAAAAGGTCGGTTGTTTGGAGAGATCTGGACAGGTCGAATATTATGAAAACACGGTGCAACTCTTCTGCATACAATCTGAATCCTGTTGCCTTGAAAAGCGGATCAAAGTACGTGTAATTAATAAGCTTGGTATCCCTGCATCCTACAGGCCTAATATCAACACCCTAGGTCTCTTGGTTAATGAGAAGTTGTTGAAAGATTTCAACATATTTGACCCCGGTCAGTCATTCATGTTAAACTTGGTAGCCCTACATACCTAATGCTTCTGGCCCAATATCGGTACTCTTCTTGTTATTGAGCAGCCATTTGAATGGAAAGTTATGGCACGACGGGAAACGCACGAAATAAGACGGCTAAAAATGTGGCAATAACAAATGTATCTGGATAGACCGACAGACACCAGATGATGTAAGACTTGAACTAGAATTCTTTCATTAAAAATCATTTTTGATGTTCAGCAAGACATTTTAGACATGCCATCCCAGCGTTACTTTAAATATATTGTACATTAATAACTCAACACTGTACATTATGACAAAGAACAAAGCAGTTATGAATTAGTAATTCATATTTTACGTTCTTTCAATATACAATGTAATGCTTCAACCTTGATTTGAAAGACTTCATACAAAACACCCTACAAAAACGGTTGTACTCTGGTCTCTGCTTCATCATGATAAGCAGGACTTTTAACATGATCAGTGCCATCCAAGGCAATACAAAAGCCATCTCTTCCAATGACTTTTCAAATCATCAGTGCTATATAGGAGGGTTCAAAACGTTTATCTGCTAAAAAAAATACATGCATCACTGATGTTATTTACATATTGCATGTAAGTTGCCTGAAATACAGAATAATGTTACCGATTTACGTGTTGAATGAGTGATCTCAACAGTCCTATAGATCAGATGGCAGAAGTTTTAAAACTTAGGCAGATAAATAAAATTTTCTACCAGTTGTGAAGAAAGGCTTAAATGATTTTGCATCTTTCTTCAGAATTCACAACTTGATTATTTTCACTACTTTTCAAGCATTCCTTTTTAAATAATGTATTTGCCCAATACAATGGACACTCGCTACAAATCACAATGCATGCCTACAAAATGTCATCAGTTTCCCCTTAAAAAACACTGCAAGTTTCTTCCTTTCAAGTTGATTTAAGAATTTCAGGAAATTAAAAAAGATGTACAACTTTCGAATTTTATACTGGTGTAACCAGACCATTGCACCAGTTTATTCATTTCCTGTTAACAATCTCACACCAACATGTGCATTTGGTGCACATTTCCCATGTGAATTAGTACAGAAACATTCAAAGCATTAAAATAAATTAATGTTACGACAACTTGAAACATTTACTTCAATTATAATTGAGGGATGGACACCATTGGGATACATATCCAAATGCCATTTCCTCTTTGCCGTTTGATGTTTCTGCGACAGTTTAGGTATATGTGCAACTGTGCATCCTTTATACCAAAACTTTTGATGCCAATTATTCACATCATGAGAAATTTGGCGAAACGAAATTCTAAAGCCAATGCTTTGGTCACTTTTGACAGATCCAGAACGCTAAGACTCTGCCTCCTTTTCATTAGTCACCGTCTCTTGTGGTTTTTCAACACAGTTACTACTAGTTTGATCACATTCAGGTTTTGCATTGTCTTCAGATACTTTCTCTGATTTTACACTCAATTCTCCAAGTTTTTCAGCCACAGAGTCAGTTTCACTGTCTTTACTTTCTGGTTTGTCATTTGAAGCCGATTCTTTCTGGTCACTTGAAGTGGATTTCTTCTGTTCACTCTCTGGTGCAGCATCTGATAACCACAAAAATGTGTGAATGTCATACAGTGAAATACAATATATCAATTTCGATGGATGACATTTTAACTGTATACTTTTCTACCACACCCCAACACCACCAGAGCATTTTCAACACATTTTTTTCTCAAAAGAAAGACTAGTTAAGATCTTTTGATGTTCATCAAACGAGTCTCTAGATTGCATAATGGTAGATCTTAATGGCTTTGAAGTTGGTTGTCCTTATTGGTAACCTTCAAAAGGAGCGTATCAGCCTGTGATTGGTCAGATTTTTTTCTTCTAAACCAATTAAATTACTTCACAGAAAAGCCTCTATCAGAAATAAGTGCCGCTAAGTTTGTTTTCATTTTAATCAAACGGTAATTCCAAGATTTCATCATACAGAGGCAAATTTTTACACACGGTCAATTGACACTGAACGAGGTTAAGGTTGAAAAGCAATGAAATTTTGATTTACGTCAAACCTCATTTCCTTTCAATAGAGTATGACTCCTAAGATTCAGTGTTAAGCCAGACAAGCAATCTGATATGGTCTCGTAATATAGATCATGGGTTAACTTTTGTTTCCATTTTTAAATCTGCAATAAAACACAGTATCCATAATATACTTTTTAATGTCATTATGTAGGAACTGTGAATTAGATATCAAGCAGATTTAACTTTACTTTCAAGAATTAACAAAATATTAATTTTTCATGTCAATATTCCTTGTTCTTACTTTCGAGTCTTTCAATACGTTTAAAACACTTAAAAGCCTCTATCAGAAATAAGTGCCGCTAGTTTTGTTTTCATTTCAATCAAACGGTAATTCCAAGATTTCATCATACAGAGGCAAATTTTTTACACAAGGTCAATTGACACTAAACGATCCGGTAATGATGTGCGGTTAAGGTTAAAGCAATCAAATTTTGATTTTCGTCAAACCTTGTTTCCTTTCAATAGAGTATGACTCCTAAGATTCAGTGTTTTAAGCCAGACATAAGCAATCTGATATGGTCTCGTAATATAGATCATGGGTTAACTTTTGTTTCCATTTTTAAATCTGCAATAAAACACAGTATCCATAATATACTTTTTAATGTCATTATGTAGGAACTGTGAATTAGATATCAAGCAGATTTAAGTTTACTTTCAAGAAATAACAAAATATTAATTTTTTATTATGTCAATATTCCGTGTTCTTACTTTCGAGTCTTTCAATATGTTTAAAATACAGAAAAGCCTCGGTCAGATATAAGTGCCGCTAGTTTTGTTTTCATTTCAATCAAACGGTAATTCCAAGATTTCATCACACACAGACAGACTTTTTAGACAAGGTGGATTAACACTGGTAAGGTTCAGTCATGCTATGTGGTAAAGGTTGGAAAGCACTACCTGAATTCCGTATAAAACAGGTTCTCACTTACTTGGTCATTAGAGTATCAGATTTTCACTTCGAAGGTTCAGTATTTTACCCCAAATATAGGCTAGCAGAAATAGTCTCATAGTATAAAAATCATGGAAAAACTTTTTCCGTGTTTAAATTCGTCATATAACACATAATCCAAAATATGCTTTTAACCTAATGATGTAGGAACTGTGAATTAGATATCAAGCAGATGTAAGTTTACTTTCAAGAGTTACAAAATATTAATTTTTCATGTCAATGTTCCCTGTTTTTACTTAGTAGTCTTTCAATGTTTAAAATACGTAAATGCCTCTGTCAGAAATAAGTGCCGCTAAGTTTGTTTTCATTTCAATCAAACGGTAATTCCAAGATTTCATCACACAGAGACAAAACTTTTTACACTAGGTGGATTAACACAGGTTTACTTTAGTCATGATGTGCAGTAAAGTTTGAAAAGAACTAAAATTTGAATTTCAATTGATATAAAACCAGATTTCCTTTTAAAAAATGGTCAAAATTGCTTCGTCCACGAAGTATTCGATTTTTACTTCATTAAATTCAGTTTTTTACCCCAAATATAGTCATCAGAAATGGTCTCATAGTATAGATCATGGCAAAACTTCAGTTTTCATTTTTAAAATCTGGTATTGAACAAAGTATAAAAAATTTATTTTTTAATGTTGTAATTTATGAACTGTAAATTAAATATTCAGCAGATTTCAATTTACTTCCAAGGATTCCAAAAATATTAATTTTTCATTTCAATATTCCGTTTTTACTGAGGAGTCTTTCAATATGTTTAAAATACGTAAAAGCCTCTGTCAGAAATAAGTGCCGCTAGGTTTGTTTTCATTTCAATCAAACGGTAATTCCAAGATTTCATCACACAGAGACAGACTTTTTACACAAGGTGGATTAACACTGCTAATGTTCAGTTGTGATGAGCTGTCGAGATTGAAAAGCACTAAAATTTTTATTATGGTCAAACCTGATTTCCTTTTAAAACATGGTCAAAATTGCTTGGTCAATAGAGTTTCAGATTTTTACTTCTAAGATTCAGTGTTTTACCACAAATAAAGTCAATCAGAAATGACCTAATAATATAGATCATGGCGAAACATTTGTTTCAATTTTAAAATCTGTCATAAAATAGTATCCAAAATATACTTTTAAGGTCATGATGTAGGAACTGTAAATTAGATATCAAGCAGATTTCAATTTACTTTCAAGAGTTACAAATTAGTAATTTTTCTTGACAATTTTCTTGGTTTTTACTTGGGGAGTCATTCAAAATATTCAAAATACAGAAAAGCCTCTGTCAGAAATAGTGCCGCTAAGTTTGTTTTCATTTTAATCAAACGGTAATTCCAAGATTTCATCATACAGAGACAAAACTTTTACACAAGGTGATTTACACTGGTAAGGTTCAGTCATGATGTGCTGTAGAGGTTGAAAAGCACGGAAATCTTTACTTCAATTGATATCAAATCCAATTTCCTTTTAAAATGGAGCCACAATTGTTTGGTCAATGGAGTAGCAGATTTATAATGCTTCAGATGAAGATCTTGTGTGGTTGCTTCAATTAGGTAGTAATGACTAAAGTAAAGCAATGTTTTAACGCAGTGATGCTCATTTACCTTACTGACACACCTCCATCACTACAGAATAGCTAGTTTCCATCAGAAATGTCAGCTGATAATTTTTCCTATTTCAATCACCGAAAATCCAAATTTTGATCGTACCACCATCAATGTCAGTAAACTGATATTGACTTATTTGGACATTTTGTTTTTGTCAAAATTTGTACAAGTCAAAATATTTTCCATGGTCCTTTGAATTTCAAGATAAGTTTCGACTGTATTTAGAATTTTCGGAGAAAAAATCCCTACCTTAACCTAAGGCAATTATTGTCGGGTAGAAAAACTATTATGACTTACTTGATTTTCCAATTTTTTCATTTATAGCCTGACTTTCCTCAAAACTGGACTTAAATTTCTGAGCATCTACAAAACAAACAAAAAATACACCTTGTAAAATCCATTAATTCATGTACCTCTGAAAAAACAGGCAAGGTAACGCAAGCAACGGCAACATTTAGTTATCAATCGCATGACAATGAACTATAAACTGGAGTACTTTCATAGTTTCCTCTTTGTTCTTTGCAGATACTCACAAAAAAAATCTATAAGTTGATGATTCAATATAATCCTATTTAACCAATACATTTACAGTGTGTCCATCATCTAATTTTGATATCTACATTTACAGTGTGTCCATCTCACTGATGTTTAAACAATGGCAATTGTATAGAATGAGGCAAAATTTTGTCATACTTTCTGCATTTGCTAATCGTATTGCCAATAACTCTGGTTTTGGTTCCTCATCTGCATAGTCACAAGGGGTACTCCAAACCCATGCCCGATCACTCCCACAGTTCGGCTTTAACTGCATGTGTGGAGACACTGTAAACAGAAGTAAAAATCATCATTTTTGTCCTGTTATCTAAATTATGTAAAAATTCAATACACAAGTACAATAATGTTATTTTGAAATTACAAATTTTAAAACGACCACGACATTTAATTTGAAACAGATTCTATCAGGATGAATTACCATGGAATTTGTATCGGTGCAATGTAAGGGTAATTCATCATTTACATTTAGATGTATAATATTCAAGCAGTGATAAAGAAAGGTTACTGCTTAAAAAAAAACAAAAAAAAAATGCAATCCAAAGGCTATCAGGATAAATAATGTGACACTCATCATTGGTGTTCAGTCCGCCCGTCACAATATTTTCATCATACAATCCTTTGAACTATTTACAACATTTCAATATTTACCAGTTTTGTTCTTAATAAAATAAAGCTCAACAAATTGATTTTCTGTACATTGGAAAAGAGTACTATAGTTAAATTATTCCCTTTCTTTTCTAATTTGTTTTCCTATTTATGATTCTACTACTGGTAAACTCATGTATCAAAGTTTATATATCAGCAAAAATAATGTGACAATCAGCATTGCTTTATCAGTCCGCCTGTCACAATATTTTCATCATTTAATTCACTAATATCCCTGGTCTCAAAATCGCACCCATTCATATTTCCATGGACGTCCGTGAGAAAAATTCTATCCAGATTTCTGCATTAATTTAGATAAGTCACCTTTTATTATTTGCCCTCGTTATTACCTTCTTGTTTTTAGCAGATTTTGGTCATAAAATAAATTGAAAACAAAAACCTGTGAAATAAGGTAGTTTAAGCATAGATCCACATTGTAATTGTAAATCTATATTAGTAGCATAGATGGACAAATGCAACATGTCAATTTTGTATAAGTTTTGCAACATAAACACCTCCTTATGAAACATCAAAGCTCGAAAGTATCGAGGGAGAATGACTTTCTTCATCTATGAAATTATGTATTTCAGATGTAGTCAGAAAGATAATGTGACACTCAACAGAAATTTTCAGTCCGCCCGTCACATAGACTTCATCACTCAATACATTGCTGAAATACACTCGTACATAACCATCATGATATTACATCCTCTTTTTATTCTTTGAAAAAGCAGAACCTTCTTAATTTGATACATCTTGTCAAAAATTTAAGGAAGCAAGGGAATCACCTGTCCAGTTCTTTTTATTACTTGTGAAATGTGTGTAAATCTATCCCAATGCTAAAAAAAAGAAAAGTATGGTCATGTTTTTAATTAATTAAAAAGTAACACAAAAACTCACAATAATGGTTGGCACACACTTTGAGAGTTTTGTCTCGTCTCATCAATATTCGTACAAGACCAGTTTCTCGGTGTTTGAGAAACTTGACATCTCCTGTTCCTCGTTCTTTCCACTCTGGGGGTTCCACTGTGCTATCAAATCGAAACAGTTTGGCTCGACTGAAATGAAAAATCACATCAAGACCAATTACAAATGATTTCCCCGTTTCCAATAACCCTACCTCCACTACAGCAATACATACAATAATTTTTGTATGTTGCTCATTAATTTCTGCAAGTAGAAACATACGCAGTTTTATATGAATTGGTTGATTCAAATGACTATATGATTTTTCATTTCTACCACATATACGACTAAATACATCCCTCCCACACTCTGCCACAAAAGTAAGGAGTGTTACAAAAAAAAAAAAAAAAAATGCATCCCAACAAATCTGGTTTTTTTTTTATTTATAATAAGTGACTGACCTTAGAACTTGGGACATAAAAAGCAATTTCCAAAGTAAGCACTTTTGGTAAGGAAGCATTGTATTGAAGATTGGTTTTCGATTGGGCAAAGCAAACTCAAGCAACTCGAAGAGAAATTGATATCAACTTATATTTACAGTGACCTTTGTCCTTTGGACGTGAATGACCATCTATCTCAAACAAGCACTTATGGTTAAAGAGCATTTCATCAAGTTCAAGTTAGATTTGACTTCAGCAAAATTAAGTTATTTCACAAATGGATTTTCAATAACAGCAACATAAGCCTCATTTTTCTATTTATAGTAACAATGACCTTGACTTTGTTCAAAACTGTAAAGCAATCCAAAGCAAACACTTTCAGTAAAAAAGTACTATATGAAGTATGGGTTAGATTGACCAAAGCAAACACTAGTTTTCACATGGAAACTATTTACTATTTATTGCAAATGACCTTGACCTTTAACTTTGACAGATGAAAAACTTCATACCCCAATGGCCAGCAAGTGCTTCCTTTAAGGGGACTTTGCATAAAGTACAAGTGCCATTGGCCCAAAAGAATTTGAGATACTGTGCAGAATCCTCAAAACGGACAAGCTGATTACTATGGGGCATTGCATCTCAATGCAGTGCCTTCATGAAATTATGGCCAAAATGTATAAACCTGTAAAATGTGCCTTTTCACTTTACATTTTAAATATTTCATCTTCATCCTCTTCCATAGATTTAACCTCTACTTTCTCCAGCTGTACCAGTGGTTCAAAGTGAATTTCTGGACTCTCCACTTCATCATGCTCCTCCTGAAATTGCAATACATTAGATTCATAGTTTATATATTTTTTTCAATTTCTCAGAATAATGCATTTGCTAGCGGAGTCCATATAATGTAAATGAAAAACATATTCATAACATTAACCCAATACAAAGTGTCATAAACCTTATACAAAATGTACCAGTTTTAATCAAGTTTGGTATTAATCGTCTACTGCGTGCATGTGAATGAAACAAAGGGTGAGATCGTGGGAATATTGCTACAACACTAAGAAAATTGCAGAAACATTTTTTCCTCTTTGTTTTTCTGCAAATATGTATAGCTGCCATTTCAGTTGCATAATTGTCATAGTTCGTATATAATACTTACGCCCCCCCCCCCCCCAATTCATTTTGAAACTAACATTCTATCTTGTAACGCAAGCGAATTACTCTAGCCTTGAAAATATGCCTGCACCACGAATTGTAGGATGCAAGAGTGTTCGAGTTACCAGAAAGAAATCAAAGATACGCCATTTCAGTTCATACATAGACAACATTCTTGAACACTTTTGCCAGTTGGGACGAGCATGGTAACTATTCAATCGTTAGACTATATTATCGATTATATTTCAACACAGACGAAGACCCATTAACCCCAAACATATAATCAGTCACAAAATAATGGAGCAGAGAGTTTCATTTCACATTGTTTAAATAACAACTACGTTCAAGCAATATTGTAGGTTGGAATTCACTTCGCATTTAAATGTCCGATTGCAATCAATGTATCTAGAAGCATGACATGCGAAAACAGCTATATCAATAAGACCCATCCCAACGTGTCAACAAATTAAAACACACTTTTAAATGCAAGTGTTTATACATATACTGTTTTCTTTAATTACGAACCTTGGAATCAGCCATATTACAAGATGATTGTGGATTAAATTTGTTGTTTACGACTCGTCCATACGTAGCTCGTTCCCGCTGATTTTCTACTTCCAAGTTACCTTAGTCACAAATGTACTTCCGGTACAACGCCTAGCAAATAAATCCACCTCAAACCTGTATAAAGAATCAAATTGTATTGTAAACACCCCCATTAAGTTCCATTTACCAGACAAATATGAAAATATAGATTCAAAACAAGACAAAATGCGTTTTATATTACCTCATTCTGTAGAGAAAGGAACAGTCGGATGTTTCCGTCAGATTACGGAATCATCCGAGATACTACTGTAGGACTGCTACCGCAAAGTTTGAATTACAGCAACAGTAACAAATAAGATATTTTGCAATGGTTCGACTCTATACGTAACTATATGTGATATCTTATAGTGAATGGATCATCTTGAATAATTGTGGCTTATATGATAAAATATCTTAAGAAGTCAAGAAACTGTAGATGCCACTGTTTTATGTGCATGCTTTTCTTCTCTTGTTGATTAATGTGAAGTATCGGGGGTTATACAGTTTGTCTTGGTGCTCAAATCAATGAGCCTAATAACTAATGAATTAGGATACGCCAAAGATTTGACTTTTAAGTGTAAGGGCGTTCCCAACCGGGAAACCATTACAATTATTTACTTCATAGCAGTTAAATTTATTTGAGTCTTAACCTTACGGTACCGGTCTGTCATTTAATGAAAACGTGTTATTTAAACTCGAGTTATGTCCCTTGCATTACTTAAAAAACGAGACGGTGGTTGCGCTCGTCTGCGGGAGCTCCACCTTTTCTACAATATATTCGATGTAAGGTTCTAATTTAAGTGTGACATCATACATTGATGGGTCGTCGCGACAATATGCGTTGTGAAATCGACTGTGTCAGAATAAGCCTTCTAGAAATGAGAATGTTACTGGGAACATGATAAGCACAGATTTCGATATGTAAAACTATACAGGATTATCCTTAACGTATGAGAATTTCGTGATGAAGACTAATACGTATCTATCATGTATTTGCAAATTGTTCTCAATACAGGTACAGTTGTTGATAAAACAAACTGGGCGTTGGTCAACAGTGTTTGTCTCAGGCACGTGGTCATGGCTTTAACCAAAAGGGTGACAAGATAATCACGTGCAAAAACATCGGTAAATCATAAGGTACAAATAAAATTCAGAATGCAAGAGAGAAATACATGGAATACCAAAGAGAAAAGTCCACATCAATAATCTTATGATCAATATTCTTATTATCGATAATCTTATGATTAGTTGTTCAAAGATATTTCAAAACGGAAATCAACGAATTCCACTGTCGAGAAAAGACGTGTTAACATGATATTCAGAATACATTACGTAATTAACTGTGTGAGTCATCATCTTGACAATATAGAGTAACGCCCTATTGCCAACATATTGTAGATGAATGAAAACCAATAACGCGTTGGCTATAGAAATCTGTAAATCCGGTTCATCGTGTTGGCTATGATATCTGTAGGCAAGACGCCATCGATGTATTTGAAAATGAGACTGAAAGACTCTTCAAGGTCTTTGTGACTTTTTTTTATATGCTCTTCGGTAAATTCAGCTTCGTATGAAAACAAAAACAAATCAGAGGGTCGCAGTTAGTTCATGAAAGGTATGCCATTCGTCTGTTGGAAGATCGTATCTCCAAACTCGACGGAGGTGTTGTCAACTAGAAACTTGATCATTTTTTATGATTTCGTCCTCCGTATATTTCTTCTTTTATTAGGACGTATTGTTCTGGAATGCATGGTATAATAAATGTACACTTCAGTTTAGTTCACAACAATATATTTGTCCCGCATATCACCTTTCTTGGAAAAGAAAACGTTTATAACGAGTGAAAAAGACGTTCTTTCTGTTTAGAATAGGTTTAGTGTTGTACACAGTGGAAAAAAATCAAACATTCTTATAGAAGAAATGTTTGTTAAAAGAGGGCGTTGAAGGTTGGCCAAAAGTTCTTTGGAGCTCTTCAAAATCGACATACCACTGTACTATCTATTTCACTTCTTGAGTCAACAGTATGACAGTGAGACTGTACACCAGATTTGATAGCACTAAGTATGGTTGCATGGTAGTTTTGACAAAGGTTTGGTTCAACAGCTAAACGAGCTAGCAATAAAACATTGTTTATATAGATTCGCGTGACGTCATAAGTTAGCCGTATGTCACAATGGATTTAGAATTCTTTAAACAGAACAAAACCATTCATTGGAGACGGATATATGTACTTCCGTTCACTATTAGTAGAAATGCAAATTTGCAATAACTTCCATTTTAAGTTAACACATTTTGACAACTAACTCATAATTGTATAAAAAAATGTCTTGTTCTTGTACACTGTGAAGGAGTACATTTTGTTTTTATCAAATTTTGAGTCTCTGTAAGATGTGTGATTGATTCTATTTGCTTTCTATAAAGGAATCCTTCATTTTTGGTGTACATGATAAAAAAGTGTGGATAGTTTAGTAATAATTTTGAAAGTCGATGAGAGCTCAGATCTCATCCCGAAATGAGTATAATCGCGGATGTGGGCCGATATTCTTTCACAATTTCTCATGGTCCCAGGCGAAGGTTTTAAGCTGTTGACGTAGAATTACGGCCTCGATTTCAAACACATGTTCTTGATTAGTTACAACTTTAGAATCAAACACAACAAAAGTATATAAGTCACTTCTATTTCTTAATATTTCAATTTTGCTCTTAACGCCATTCTTTTTCTTCTGAACGTCACTAAATGCCGCTTGGACGCAAATCTGCCTCTATTTCTCTTGTTGCCAACCAACAGATCTATAACTTCTTATAGGTCTTCACCACCAACCTGTAGGGAAGGGCTGCGTTTCATTAGAGTACGTACAACACAGATCTAGAAATATTATCCAGCAATTCCTGTTACCTGACAGATAAGAACGTGCAAATAAAGACACATTAAAACGATCACGCTTCATGAAAAGAATCTCTATGAATTATTCAATTTGAGATCGCGTTTTGCAAAATGACATTTTTGGATTCGATGAAAATACGATGTGTATGTTATATCAGGGACGTATTATACGACCCTGCTAATATCTATTAAACTGTCGCTTCTCTGTTGCAGCTAGATGAAAAGAGTGACGCTTTTTAAAGTATGCAGGAATGTCATAACTTTAGGCTACACAAGTTGTCAGCATGTGAATAAGTATGCAGAGATCTCATTGCATACATTCTGTATTAGTACGCAGTATTACAGTCCATCTAGCTAGAAAAATGTGTACGGACGAACAGACGACTCCAGACACAGAGCATCAAGATCAGCATAGGACGTCATAATTCACTACCTACAGTTTGTAACGCAGTGAGTACTATTAATGTGTCGAATTTTCAGAAATAGACAAGGAAAGAAAAAATCAACACGAGCGTCCTTAATGATTTAGGACGAAGCGTAAATTATTTACACAGCGAAGTTGTAAGTTGATTGTAAATCTTTTCTCAGTATGATAATTGACAGATTACTGTCAATAATTTACGTGTGTGAGACTAGTCTAAACAAACACTGTGCTAAGTATACAAATTATCTGTATATATAAAAGTCTTTATTACTGGGGGGTCAAATTGGTCAGCACTGATTGTGTAACAAGTTGTTGTCAGCCACTCATCAGAGCTCACATGCTCGTGTCCACAACACAAATTGGTGTATGAAATACATAGAAATACTGGAATTTAAATTACAGATTTATTTTTCTTTTTAAAAGTAAATTATCCAACAACCTTGAGTCTTTGAGTTAAGATCATCATTTATACTACATAAGTATGGAGTAATGACGGTGGGCCGTACGTATATAGAACAGTAGTAATGTATCAAAGTTCTACACCATTGACGCCCGTTATAAAAGTCTCAAGGTTAATCCACTTCACACAACATAAAACCTACTTTGTTTAACGGAGATCGAAATCCCTTTAAAAAAAGATACCGGTGTCATATTTGAAATGAAATGGGATTGTACCTTTTAAAAGTTCAGTCGTGTGTGATATGTACTGTTTAGTGTATATCTCTCTTAGCGTCCACTCTTCCACAGACTGAAGACCACAGAGATAACGATTCTCCGAGCCTCACTGTGACTGTAGGTAGGTAAAACTTTTCTTCATCTTTAATCATGTTTTGATTTTTACTAGGTACACCACGAAATAAGTAAATACAAAACTGACTGCAGTCATTCATTTTTCCCACTTCCTGTTTTTTCTCTACTTCTTTTCTTTGATAAATTGATCGCGATTAGAACCAAGCATGTCCTCAAATGATATCGACTGTACAGGATGAAAGATTTCACGTTTGAGGTGAACTACGGATGAGCGAACCTACAGACGATATTTATGTTTTTCCCTTCTCATGTTAGTGGGGATGACATCTTATATATTTAATAAATCTCACCAGGAGAAAGTTTGATCTTTAATCGGCTCCATTGATCTTGTCAAATAACACAGTAACAGGATAACACCAGGAGAAAGTTTGATCTTAAAAACTATAAATAATCGTTTAAATAATGTTCTCCATTGATCTTGTCAAATAACACAGTAACAGGATAACAGGACGACGTCTTAATAAACAAAAATGGTGGGACAAAGTCATATGATTCAGGCAAGCTACACGATAAAAACTATAAATAATATCTATAAATATCAAAGTTTAAATAATGTTCCGTATTTTCCATCCATTAAATCTCATCGTTAACCCATGTAAACCTCATCTCTATAAATCTCATCGTTAATCCCTGTAAACATCATCTCTATAACATCATCGTTAACCCATGTAAACCTCATCTCTATAAATCTCATCGTTAATCCCTGTAAACTTCATCTCTATAACATCATCGTTAACCCATGTAAACCTAATCTCTATAACATCATCGTTAACCCATGTAAACCTCATCTCTATAAATCTCATCGTTAATCCCTGTAATCATCCTGTCAAACTAAACATCATCTCTATAACATCATCGTTAATCCCTGTAAACCTCATCTCTATTAACATCATCGTTAATCCCTGTAAACCTCATCTCTATAAACATCAT